GATGCAGAAGCAGCAGAGAATTACACAAAACGACAAAGAAAAGTGCAGACTGACAACGAAGGAGGAAAGGAAGAGAGAGAACGAGAGGGAACGAGAAAGGGAGATGGATAAATAGCAAAAAAAAGACAGACAGAAAGACAGTCAGAGGAGAAGAGAGAGTCAGGACAAAGGGCAGTGAGAAAGAGACAGAGAGACAGAGAGCAGAGGAAGAAAGAGAGAGACAGAAAGAGAGAGATTGAGAGAGAGCAGAGGAAGAAAGAGAGAGATTTAAGTGCCTTAGAGAGGAAAGCGCTGTTGTAAGTGAACAGTCTCGGATACCTGGTTGTTTTTCCCCTTCGCTGCACACTCTCTCTTCTTCTCCACAGGGGCCGGCCAGTCAATCTGAGAGAGGGTGAGAGAGAGAGAGAGAATTAAAAAAAAGAGAAATAAAAGAGGAATAGAGTGAGGCACAATAACAGAGAGGGAAAGAAAAGGATTATGGAAGGAGAGAGCAAAAAAAAAAAGAAAGTAAGAAGGGAGGGAGAAAAAGAGAGGGAGAGATTTCACACGTTTTAATTTTAGCCGTACAGGGTCACTCACATAACACTGATCACTACAACACGGTCAAACATTCACACTTCTGTCATTAAGGGAGAGAGAGAGAGAGAGAGAGAGAGGGAGAGAGACAGAGAGAGAGAGAGAGAGAGGAAGCTATAGTGTTTTAAAAACTAGCTAGGAGCTCTCTGTCCATTAAAAATGTGTCCTAGTCTGCTGACCTTTAAACTGCAATTTCCTACAAACAGCGCACTAAAAGCTCTGCGGTTGTTCCTGTGCGCTGGTCAATTTGAATAATAGAAAATGGCAAATGCTGCTTTTTTGGAGTGGAAAGCTGGAAAATGAATGAGGGGAATGAATGAGGGATTGTAGAGGATGGAAGGTGGTGCTCGTCTATACCACCATACCATCATATCGACATACCGTGATATTGCTTTTCAGTTTTAGCGATATTTTTCTGATATATCTGATAGATAATGAGTGTTATTTTCAAGATGCAATATAGAGGTTGCAAGATATCTTGCGACGTGGGACTAATTTTCGGTGTCGTGTGTGCCGGAGCGGGCGGGCAACCAGCTCTCTGCAGGCGGGAGCGGGATGAAGCACACAGCAAGGACTCCACAGAGAGATGCATCTCCAGCTCTAATCAATGAAAAAAAAAAAAGTTTTTGGCTCTATCTTTAAAGAACTTAAGTGACGTTTTGTGCCGCAGCAGTAAGGATGGGAACAGCGGTGCTGTGACGCAAACAGGAAATTTGGCGTAGAGCAAAACCGTCACTTCGGTCCAGCCTTCGCGGGTCTACGTGGCCTTCGTAGAGCGCGTCCTCTGAAGGATGCAGCCCTTAAATTGGGACACAGCTTATATCGGATATTGGATGTCAGTTCGCTTTGTCGGAACTGCATAGGTAGAAGCAGGATAAAACATTTCGAATGCGGGCGGGAGCGGGACAAATGATTCCGATTTTCTGCGGGAGCGGGATGAAATCTTGCGGGAGCGGGCAGACCTGTAATACAACTCAGAGAGGAACCCTCATGGCCTTCTAGGCCTTTGGAGAACCCCTAATGATCTCAGGGAACTAAAAAAAATTTGCCTGTTATTTTTAGTTTGTTGCCATTTAATAGAACCATCATGCTTGTAGTATTTAAATTCCAGAAGTATTATAGTATCACTCTTATTTCATTGTTAAGTTTTGGCTGGAACCAAAGCATTAAACTCTTGCTCAAGGGAAAATTCGGTCCAATCAGATTTTTCCCCTCTGTAGTGTCCCGGTAGATATGGCCAAGCGAGCTCTCCCATTTGTCAGGCCTTCACAGAAGGCCTTACTTGTTAGATTAACCACTTTGTTTTCCAGCTGTTGGAATAATTTTGTGGAAAAAAATCACTCTAGGCCTTCTGGAAGTTCTAGATACGTCACTGACTGTGAAAGCGAGTCGTATAACCAGGTTTCAATTAAAGACAAGGTAAAATGTACAAGGTATATTATGTGAATGTCTGTGATATGCTTCAAATAAAACATATGGAATATTTGTTTACAAGCTTAAAATGCTGAAAATAGCATCTCATCAAGTGAAATGATCTTAAATTTAGTCTAATATCTAATATTTCTAATTTTGAGATGGCTGTGTGCTCAAGATTATCTAGCTTATTTCTGAACATTTTTTAACTTGTTTTAGGTAATTTTATTAAGTAAAATGATCTCACTGTAGTGGCGGATAATTATGCTGGTAAAACAAGCAAAATTATCTGCCAATGTACTATGAAACATTTACTTATAATAAAATTACTTTAAACCAGCAAAAATGTTTGGAAATTAGGTAAATCTTAAATTAAGCTTACAACAATCTCAAGAGGAGAAATATTAGATTTTTTGACTACATTTAAGATAATATTACTTGGCAAGATATCATTTTTTTGCAGTGTATATTCTAGAACGGCTTATAAGCATTCATTTGCACTAGTAGCTTAGTGCTAACATAACATTAGAAATCCCATAGAGCGGAAATTAGCATTATCCAAGCAGTGTTCTTCTTATTTTTCTCCCTTTCTTCTTCTTTTTCACAAGTTTTGATATTTATGGCCTTGCAGACGTGTATTAATAATAAAATAGCTGTGTCCCGACAGTGTTCCAGTCAGTTTTTGGGTTTTGAGTTCTACTTTATCCACTTTTTGAGTGCCTCACACAATTTTAAAAGACCAGGAAAACTAAACCACCGTCAAGTTTCCTTTCTGTAAATGTGTTTTCTGTCTGAGGAAAGAGTCTAATACCGTTTAAGCTCCGCATGGCTGTAATTTTAACACACGAAAATGGAAGAAAATAGTAATCAAAACAAGCTATTTCAGGTTTGTAAGACTTTCTTTCAGCAGCGGCAGTCAGGAAGCACAGGCTCATTAACTTTATTAATGCACCCATAAATATAATCTGATGCTGTGATTACTGTGATACAGTTAGAAAACACCCTGATTGTGAATTTTGTACCGGTCAGCTGTACTGCAGGGCGTGCGGGGTGCGTTTACCTGGGGTCTGAGCTGTCTGCTGATGTCATTGGGGTCCAACGCAAACAGGGTTTCTCTGGCTCCGACATACAGAACCCTCTCATGTTCTGACAGGGTCAACATGGTGTAGTTCCACACGCCGACCGCACGGAACCGTGCCATGCTGTCGATCACTTCTACAGAGAGAGAGAGAGAGAGAGAGAGAGAGAGATACCATTAGCATGCACAGTGGACGATTCAACCAAATTAGTTCAAACATTTCCACCATAAAAAAAAAAACAGTGAATTATTGAGATCTTAGATATTTATGAGGATTGTTATGATGTATTTAAATTTAAGGCATTAATAGAGATAGTAATAAGCTAAATATATACAAGTTCATCATTTATAAGGTACTTTGTATTGGGAGGTGCCGGCCACAAACCCCAACCCCTAAATTTACACTTGCGAAAACAATATTTACAGTTTTTTGCTTTTTTTTCTAATGTTGTTTTTTTAAAATATCTTTTTATTTCTAGATGATTTACAATGATTTAGAAAAAAATATTAGTTTTAAAAATAAATTCTCTGAATAGAATTTGCACCAATAAAGCCATTTGAATCCGATAAAGAAGAAAGGATAAAGAGGGGAAAGAGAAGAGAGAAGATCCAAACATGACGACACAGCATTATTATTATTATATTCTATTATTCCTGTAATGATGTTTAAAAACGTGGAATATGATCTGCGAGAAGACGCCGCCACTGCAGCAAAAAGAGATCATATTCCTGTTGAGGGGTGATCCGAGCACTCCGCAGGAAATGATTTTTCCATCATGATTTATATCCGCCATGTGATCCGGGGAAGAAAGTAGGAAAGAGAAGAAAGAAAAGACAGAAAAAAGAAAAGAGAGTAAAAAAGCCTCAGGGGAGCTGGAGAGACAGAGAGAGAGAGAAGATTCTAGAAAGACAGAATTGAAAAGGGACTGCAGTTATTACCTAGAGAACAGCAGAGCATCAACACTGGAGAGAGAGAGAGAGAGAGAGAGAGAGAGAGAGAGAGAGAGAGAGAGAGAGAGAGAGAGAGGAAACAGAGGAGAGAGAGGGAGAGATAGCGAGACACAAAGAAAGATGATAGAGATAAAAGAGCAAATGAGAGAGAGAAATAGGGAGGGAGGAAGAGAGAGAGATAAACAGAAAGATAGAGCAGGTAGAAAGAGTGAGGAAGAAAGACAGATAAACAGAGTGAGAGAGCGAGAGAGGGAATGAGAGAGAGGGGGGGAGGAAACAAAGAAAGATGATCGAGATGAAAAACCAAAAGAAAGAGAGAGAAAGAGAAAGAGCGAGATAAACAGGGAGAGAGAGTGAGAGAGGGAATGAGAGAGATAGAGAGGAAGAGAGAAAGAGAGAAAGAGAGAAAGAAAGAGAGTGTGTGTGAGAGAGTGAGGAAGAGAGAGAGAGAAAGACAGACAGGAACAGAGAGAATGAGAGAGAGAGAGAGAGGAGGGAAGGGACGATAGAGAGACAGGGAGAGATAGAGATAAATAGAGAAAGAGAGACAGAGAAACAGGGAGGGGGAAGAGAGAGAAAAATAAACAGGGAGAGAGGGAGAAAGAGAGACAGATAAACAGTGTGTGAGAGAGAGAAACAGAGAGAGGAAGAGAGAGACAAACAGAAAGAAGGAGAGAAAAACAGAGGGACAGAGATGATAGCAACAAATAATTAATAAAACAACGAGAGAGAGAGAGAGAGAGAGAGAGAGAGAGAGAGAGAGAGAGAGAGAGAGAGAAGAAAAAATTCTGCCCTTGGGGGAGAAAAGGAACATCTGCTGGATAGGACAGAATTTCATAACACACACACACACACACACACACACACTGAGTACCTGCTCACCAACTCGGACACCACTTGACAGACACACACACACACACACACACACACACACACACACACACACACACACCGCTGGCTGAGTGTTTGTAAGCATGTCGTCTGGAATGAAGATGGAAGCAGACAGTCAGAAAACAGTAACCACACCCAACCACCAGGGGGCAGCAGAGGACATCAGCCACCAGCCACCTCAAACAGGGCAATAAGAGCTGTTTACGGAAACCAGCTGTCACAGTTTCCATCCCTGAATTAATCAAAGCGCAGCAGCAGTTTAAGGACGTCTGCTCAAACCTTCATCTGACCAACACTGACTTTACTTCATTCATTCTGCCACATCTTTACTTTGACTGTACACGTTTCATCCCTTTACACAGCCGCCATAAAACGCAGTTTCAGCCTGATGTGGAGGTCCCTCAGTTCAGCCCTGGATTTTAATATGTTTAATTAAATCGGAATTATATTTTGAATTAAACTAGTTCATTTGATTATATTCATAACAATATCCGATGAGTTGATTTCCATTCCGAGGCAGTTTGGCCTCGAGGAGGCCTGCAGGAAGGGTCAAATTTGCATATGCAGTATCAAACTTTATGGTAACTTTATAGGAGAAAGAAAAACAATTCTAACTTCAGTGCAAGTTAATGTCATAAGATTTTACTCAGAGTAATTTTTTCACCATATTGGTCCATTTATTATGGCCAATATTCATTACAGTCAATACATTTATTGTATTACTGTTATTATAACACTGCAACAATAACTGCAACCATAAGTCTGACTTTAATTGCAGCAGTAACTCTTTTATAGAAAAGTGCACTTTTTGATCTTATATATATATATATATATATATATATATATATATATATATATATATATATATATATATATAGTATATTTATAGTTATAATGTATAATATTGTAAAGTATTTCATGCTATACAGTTCCTTACCCCACTCTATTGTTTGCACATCTTATAAAGCAATAAGCCACAAGAGGCCATGCATTACTGCGATTTTACCACGGGAAAAGGATGTTGTTAGGCATGACACAAAACAGTAATGCTCAGCCTCAAGTGGCTTATTGCTTTTATAAAACGGCGGCCAACATAAACTATGATAAAATACACACTTTTTCAGAAAATGATATACGTTATTACTAATAATAATCAACATAAACAAGTATTTTGCCAAGAAATGTAATTCCTTTAGAGTATGGTATCGTTGCCAAGCAACCATGGACCGCTGAATGAGGAGAACGTTCAGTCGCCCAACGCTGTATATTACTGTCATAACAATGAACATATGATAACACAGAACTGTTTAATGCAAAAACCTTGGATTTATAAATACTTTTTGGTCACCAAATTACCACCACAAGTCTTATTTAGCACCAATCCAGCAGCGCCCTCTCCTCACACTGGGGCTGAATCTCAAATGGCTCCCTGCTCCCTACACAGTGCACTAAATAGGGATTTAAATACTGGATCCTGCAGCCCAACAGAGCAAAATACAGCTAAGAAATAGTGATTTGGGACTCAGACACATCCACACCCGATAAATGATGCACTATTTGGCTGCAGAGGCTAGAATTTCTAAAGTTTCATAGCCAGCACACTAATTAGGGAGTACAGAGCCGTTTGGGATTCAGCCTGGATTTGACGCGACTTCTGACTGAAACACGTTTCACACTGAATCATATCATAAGTGCTTTAATTCAAGCCTGTGATATTAATGATGGAGTTGTTTAGGCTGTTGGCTCTTTTAGCCTGTTAGCTAGCTGACCAGCCTGGTTCTAGTTAAGAACATAAGTTGCCAGCCGCTCAGTTTAAACAGAAAACAGGTTCTTACTTCATCGGTACGCTCGGTTGTCCATGCGAGCAGCATGAGAGTCAAAGATTATTCGTTTAACAGCACAAGGATTTTCCGTGCTGTGGAGCAGTAATACAGAGTTCAGTTATTGTGAGGTGGTCACAGCTGTGGGTATATCCTGGATTTTATCCTGGCTCAGAATGCGGCTCAGCCAATCAGATTTTAGGACCAAAACTATCCGTTTTATAATTTATAATAACACATTATTCACTCTACTTCTATTCTGTTTATTTACAGAGCGATACTGTATTTTGCAGTGGTTATCAAACCTCCTTAGAGACCCCTAGGCTGTCCATATTTTTGCTCAGTCCACACATTTGGGGGTCCCTGAGGACAGACTGAAGACCCACTGGTGTCTGTATATTTGGTATTCATGCTGACATAGACACAAAGGAAAAGTCCTTATTGTGACACTACAAGGATTCTGCACATGCTGTTTATTACAGGATGCACTGATATTTCTAGAACTACTAACATTCTTTAAAAAGACGGTTCTTCAAGCGTTCTTTAGTAAAGAGAATGGTTCTGTTTAGAACCATTTAGCATACTGTTTAAGCCATACATTTAGTGATACATTTGATAAATAGTTGCGTTCACAACATAAAGCCCTTTACACAGCAGTTTTCCTGCAGCCAAGCAGTTTGTTTATTATTCTCCTTTCTACTTTCTTAAAATAAGGTTCTTTATGGGCTCTTTAATCAAAGGAATGGTTCTCTTTAGAATCATGAGTTCTATATACAACCATTTCACGCTTAAATCGTTCTTTGCGTGGCGGGAATGTTCTTCAGACTGGTGGAGAATGTGTTGAAAATGGTTCTATGTAGCACCAAAAAGGGTTCTGCTATTGTTATGATGTCGAACTTGAATACAACAGCAGAACAGTTTTTGGTGCTATATAGAACCAAATACAATACATTCTCCTTCTATCTGAAGAACCATTTCTCCACGCAAAGAACCGCTGAAGCATGAAGTGGTTCTATATAGAACTTATGGTTCAAAACAGAACCATGCCTTTACTAAAGAACCCTAGAAGAACTCTCTTTTTAAGAGTGTACAAAAAGCGTCTCTAATAAATTCAACTGTACTGATAGATGAAGAACCCAGTTTGGCTCAAACAGAGTGGTTTAAAATGTATTTTATTCTCATCTAGACTATAAGATGGCAGGTTAATGTGTGTGTGGGTGTTCATCAGTGGCCAGGACCCCCATGGACCCTCACAGAGCAGGTACTATTTGGGTGGTGGGGTCATTCTCAGCACTGACGTGGTGCTGTGTTAGTGTGTGTTGTGCTGGTACGAGTGGATCAGACACAGCAGTGTTCTTAAACACTGTGTCCACTCACTGTCCACTCTATTAGACACTCCTACCTTGTCAGTCCACCTTGTAGATGTAAAGTCAGAGACGATAGCTCATCTGCTGCTGCACAGTTTGTGTTGGTCA